ATGGTTGTCATGCCCCTACGATGGAAATCATTTCGGTTTTCAAAGGATGGACGACAAGGTTAAGGATGGACTAGTTCTAAGTGTCATTTGGTGTTAAAGAGACACTTAGAGTAGTTTAGGACTTTGTTTTTCCTTTAGCCATACTATTAAGGGGGGTATGGACAGGTAGCTTGACCTAGGTGAGTCTAGTGGGTTAGGTGTGGTGCACACTTGTCAAATCTAGCACTAGGTAGCTCCTAAGTAGCCCTAAGATCAATTGGAGCAAACTTCATTCATATATGATTGCGAGTTGGAAGTGAATGGAGGGTCAAATGTTGACCGGACACTGGTTTCGGTGTGACCGGATGCTGGCACAGAGTCTGATCAGTTCATTTGATCAAGGCGAAGTCGTCTGGATGCGACCGGATGCTGAGTGAAATGTGACCGGACGCTGGGTGTCAGAGTCCGGTCAACTCCAGTAAGGTTCCAGAGAGAGAGAATCTTGATTAGACGCGTCCTCTCAGTGCTGATCGGACGCTGGTCAGGTTCCGGCTACTGACCGGACGCTGAGCAGCAGAGTGACCGGACGCTGGGTTCCAGAGTCCGGTCAACATCAGTAAGGTTCCAGAGGGCAGTTTTTGTGACCGGACGCTGGTCAGTGTCCGGTCACAACTTAACTGCTCGGTGGCGGGGAGAACTGACCAGAGCGTCCGATCACCTTGACTGGAGCGTCCGGTCGCCCCGTAGTGGCACATAATGGTTTATTTTGAATGAAGGGTTATAAATATTTCCTCTATTCACTCAAGGGATAACTTTTGCTCATTCCAACAGCTAAGAAACACCCTTGAGAGTGCCAAGAAGAGCAAGGTCCTAGTGAGGTGATTGAGATTTGAGAATCCAAGAGAGAGGCCTCATTAGTGAAAGCAAGAGTAGCAAAGTGTGCATCCACCCTTTTTATTAGGCTTGTCGTGGTCAAGTGAGAGTCCGTGCTTGTTACTCTTGGTGATCGCCATCACCTAGACGGCTTGGTGGTGATTGTGAGCTTGGTGATCATCCGGCGGAGCTTGTGGATGACCCAACTCAAGTTGTGAGCGGTTGTGGGTGATTCACCACGACGGAGTGTCAAAGAATCAACCCGTAGAGAGCACTTGATCCTTGCGCGGATCAAGGGGGAGCTACACCCTTGCGCGGGTGCTCCAACGAGGACTAGTGGAGAGTGGCGACTCTCCGATACCTCGGCAAAACATCACCATGTTCCTCCTTCTCTCTTTACTTTAAGCATTTACTTTGAGCAATTCAATTCTTGTCTTTACATTAATAGAATTGCCATGCTAGAGTAGGATTGAAACTTAGGTTGCAAAACTTTTGTGCGGTAGAACATTAGAAACACTTTCTAGGCACAAGGGGTGAAGTGGGTTAAGTGTAGGGTTTAATTATTGCAAAGAATTTTAGAATTAGCCCAATTCACCCCCCCCCCTCTTAGGCATCTTGATCCTTTCAGCTAGTATAAAGAGAGGGGGAGAGCTCCCTCTCAACACCCACCACAACTCAAGAGCCTCTCTCCCTCCACTTGTATCTCTTTATTTTTAGTAGTGTTTTGGAGCTAGGCAAGATTCTTGTGAAGAGCTTGGACATCTAGAAGGAATCTTGGTATGATCAATATGAAGAGTTCTTCTATGTTCTTGTTCTTATCTTATCAATATAGTCATGTTATAGAATTAGAGCAAAGTTCTTATGTTATTCATTTAGCATATGAAACTTTATGCTTAATCTTTCATACAACATACATGTTTAGACAAGACCTAAATTTAGGTGATGAGTTCTACTTTAAATTAGTCTTGGTCATTGTTTAATTGCGGGTTCGTCGTCCATCCCCGTGATGGATGCTCTAGTAGAGGACTCCTGATAAAGACGGATGTTCCTGGCCGACGCTAGAGTAGTAACCAATAGCGTAGACATGTTGTCTGAGCTAGAAGTTACCTTCGTTTGCCTCGTTCCTTGTAATCCCCCATGTTCGGGTTCGGCGTAGAGCTGGAAGCCGGAGGTACTTGGCAGACCAAGTATAAGCCGATGTCCGAAGTAAGTTTATAATGACCAAAGCTATCTTAACTTAGAATCTCTAAACTTAGAAACTCGTGTATTTGTATGACTATCTGCATAGCATAGCTATATAAGATAAGCCTGCTCCAGACTAGGTTTATCCTTTATTCTTTATCCTTTCTTTAATCTTTATCCCTAAGATTGGCTTGAGTGTGTGTGTCACACTATCCAATATTTATCTTGGCTTACCCCTGTTATGAACTTTGGTCTATTATACAGTCATGTTGTCTTGACCATGTTCCTACTAGAGACTTTTACACCATGACTTTCTTTGGGAAAATATAAATGAACGATACCCGAATACTTCCGGGTGAAATGTTGTGACAATATATCCGTGCGCTTGTGGAATATTTTTATATGCGTTCAGAAATATCGTCACGGCGTTTCTGTTGCCATTGCTAGAAAACCCAAATTCTAGTAGTGACGCTAAGAAACGCCAACACTTAGTACCCTTAATTGTGACTTTTTTAGACCAACCAATTAAGCTCTAGAAGCCAACTTTTAATATAAGGCTTCAAATTGGACAGACCATGTACTTGAACTACTTAAAATGCATAGAATACGTGGATTTGGCATCCCACGAGCCCACGAGGTGCCGCTGTCCGTTAAAATATCAGGCGGGCACCATACCAACCTGCACGACTGCACCCTGGTTTTCCTTAGCCGCCGGATTCGCCACATAGCGCTCAAAGGAGCCAGCTTTAGATTTTGTTGCAACTTGGTCAGTTGCCTAACCACCTGCTTCTTATTCTCTTTGGAGGATCCACCTCTCATTGGAGGATGTTTGCACTGTTTGTTGGATATATATTGTGGCTAGTTGTGATTGTAATAAGGAACCGTAGTGAGCGTGCAGCTCCACTCATCCAGCTTATTACTTGCAAAATTCAAAGACTGGCAGGTTGTTGTTTCTAGAGTATTTTCCCCTTTTATAAAGGCACTATATGTGGTATTAGCATCTCACAAAAATGTATATGAATGTTAAAGAGATATTGTGGCCTCACACCTTTTGCAAACCCACTTTAGTGTGTGTACAATCATTGTGTGGCGATACGGGTATCATATCATATATACATGTTATCTTTAAGCTATAATATTAGATCAGTCACTGAGCCTCGCATAACGTGTCTAAATTTTATTTCATATTCCCTTCAATACAAATGTAAGTGTAACTTTGAATATTTGATGTCATCGCTTAGATCAGAAGCGTATCCTCGGTCACACATGTTTGTTGTTGTACTTCCATAAAGCCACTAATTATTTCCTTAGAATCGATTTTTTTTAGGGAAGCCATCTGGCGCACTTTATTGATTTGAAAACAGAGTTACATGGTTCACCAGGGCTTCAATAATGAAGCTAGGGGTTCATCAACCCAAATACATGAATTCTTTGACTGAATAGCTAAACTCGCTAAATTGTGCGCTACTCTACCATATTACAATGATCTATGGAGATAGAGTTAAAATCCTGCCAGAGTACCACACATTCATCATATATTGGCGCACCAACTGTTGCTAAAAAACCTCCCTGCTTCATTGTCTCCACCACCTCCAAACAGTCGGATTGAATGATGAGTCGTTGGCAACCAATATGTTGGGCTAACAGGAGCCCTTCTCTTAGAGGGTACACCTCCACTGTTGGGGCATCCACGACATGATCAAGATAACAATTATTTCTTATATAGTCTTATTACATATTTTGTATGTTTAAAATTATAGTTCACTTTAGTTTTGTAATATATGCCATGGGTATCCTCATTGGAGCCAAAAATGACACTAGACGGGAGTAACTCATCTACTCCCTCTGTCCCCTTATTAAGTGTCGCTGCTGTGGGATACGTATTGGTCAAACTTTATAACTTTAACTATATTTATAAAAAAATTACAACATTTGTATCTCTAAATAAATTTATTATAAAAATAGATTCAAAGATCTATCTAATGATACTAATTATGTATTACAAAATTTAATATTTTTTATATGTATTTAGTTAAAGTTGACTACGTTTGATTTCTCGAGATGTGAGAACAACATATAAAAAGAGACGGAGGGGATAATTGGCAGACAAGGCATAAGCAACGGTACACATGAAAACGAACTCCATCTATTATGGAGAGAACAAAACTATGTGGTGGCGATGGTATGATCGGAGAACAGGTGGTGTGTGTTTCAGTGTTGTTAGGCTTGTCAACTATGTGGATTGCTTGGCGTGTGGGCAGTTTTATGATACACGGTTGTTAGCTGCTATTGCTCGGCGTGCTGGCTAGCTACACTCGTGCTACAGCTCGTATGTGAGTGTGGCAGCAATTGCAGAGGTTAAGCCTATCGAACACTCGTCAGCTGTACCTATGTCTGAAGTAAATAAATCATTCTAAAGTTCCATAGTTCACAGACTAGTACAATAATCTGCATCACATGCTTATTCCAGGTGCGTTAAAAAGGACTAATTAAATTTGTGACTAACTAAAAATGTGGTCAAGAATGACGTAAAAGAGATTAAAGTTTATTGATGATGCATTGATAAGAGTTTGTTTGGTGGGCATATCAGAGATAAAAGTTTTAGCTAATGATATATAGAAAAATTCCCTACATTTTATCACTTTTACTTACAACATTAAAAAAAACAAAGAGATACCTGAAAACGCCAACAACGCAAACCAAACTAGAAGGGCCAACCTCCATCATACCTAAGCACAGACAAAACCACCTCAAGCTGTCAAGCACACCTGCAAACTGCATAGGAGCACCGTGGAAGCACACAGGAAACAGAGGGACCAAAACGGAAACCGTTGAACCCCCAGCTGCCTCCCTTTATAAACTGCGCCAATCTAGGCCAGCACCACCTTCTTCCTCCTCCCAGTCCCATACCAGCAAGCGAAAAGTGAAAGGGAACCCACCAGGGGAACGAGCCAGCCAAGAAACTAATGGAGGACTACTACTACTTCCCCAATTCATGGGGGACCGCCGGCTACGTCGTTGCGGGGTTCCCAGGCCACACGGTGCCTCGCAACCCAAGCTCGCCGCCGCCCAGGACCCGCCGTGCGTCCCGCGGCAACGCTGAAGCCGGAGAGCTCCACCACCCCCACCCCCACCCCCACCACTACCTCGACGCCTGCTTCCGGTGCGGGCGGCATCTTGGCGGGAACAAGGACATCTTCATGTACAGGTAAACAACGTGAGACGCCAACACGCTGGCTCATGTGCAAATAAATTCGCAAGAAGCCTCCGCCGTTCTGGTCGTGATCGTCTGATCGATGCGTGGCCGTCCGTGGATGTGCAGGGGCGACACCCCGTTCTGCAGCGATGAGTGCCGGCAGCAGCAGATCGAGGCCGACGAGGCGAGGGAGAGGAGGTCCAGGCAGCCCTCTGCGGCGACGAAGCGGGAGCGGCAGAGCAGCAGCCCGCAGAGGATTCCCCTCTGGGCGCGGTGAGCGATCGAGGCAGCGGCGTCGAAAACACTACTACGACGACGACGGCATGTGGGCTTCAGAGTAAATCGTTGCGCATGAATCGAACTGATTCGCGCATGAATCGACCTCGACGCCTCAAGCTCTTGGTAGGGTACGCATGTGGCCTCCAGCTATAGCTTGTTGTTTGCCAGCGAACAAGAGGGAGCAACTCGAGCGGTTGAGGCCCAGGGGACGGAGTCCCTGTTGTCCCGGAGAAAGAACAGATCGTCTGCCGGTTTTTGTGCGGATTACCGCATTAGTACAGCTTTTTTTTGTTCCGTTGCTCGGCGCAACCAAGTATCATGAATCGATTGCCATGTACTCCAGCATTCCGGTACCTACTATCATGAACAAATTCCAAAATACGAGCTGTGGTTTTCACGAATGAAGTATGAAGTATCAGTTTGCAGTACCAAGCAAATTTATTCAGTATGAGCGAAACAGAAATACTAATTTCTGGTACCGTGGTACGTACGTACATGGTTTCGGCAGAGAGCCAGAGACCTACTGTTTGTACGGCGGACATGCCACAGGAATCAATCCCAAACACTGCAAGATCGATCGCCTTCGCCTCTGACTTTCACCAACGGAAATGGTCATATAATTAACCAGAGGTGCTAATCGAACAGTACTTGTGAAAGTGCTATTTGGAGTTAACAAATCATCAAAGGCCCCGCGCACTCATGATCGTCGATTATTTCATTGCGTCGTTGCTGGTGCTTTTGCAAGTTGCATGTGCCCACCGCGCACGCTCCAAAGAAAGAGAGAGAGAGCCTGAGATCAGATAGAGAATCGTTCTAGGCAGCCTACGCGGCCTCCGAAACCCTAAAGAAAGGCACACTTGGGGAGCTTCTCCCCGTGCAAGATTCTTGACACGTTACGACATCTCATCAGCCCCCGAGAGATGGGCGACCATTCGCCTCTGGACGGGACGGCGGCGAGTGCCGGGCGTTCGGGGGGCACACCGGCTGCACAAGTGAGCGCCCGCCGCTCGCTCGCACGCGTCGCGTCTCGCGCCGCGCCGCGACGCTGGCCGCGCACCGGCTGCTAGCCTGCTAGTGGTAGTGCTAGCTGTAGTGCTCCCCCTCTCGGGCCGCTGGAGCCATGTGAGGGCGGAGGGCCCTGATGCCGAGCGACCAGCCAACCGAACGCCCACGCCCCAGCCCCCAGATAGTTTAGTCAGTCGAGCGATCCCGGTCCCGGCCCGGTAACCACACAGATGCGTCGATTGCGAAATGGACATCAGAACATATATTTGAAAAACGCCAATTATGCTGCTGCTGTTTTCTAGAAGCACAGAAGCAGCGTGCACGGAACCATTTGCACGTCGCTGCTGGCTGGGGCGGTCATCGAACCATTTAGTATGTTGCCATCACATGGACTGCTACTCATTTGATTGCAACGTCAATGTGTTCATGAATAAACATTGGTGGTGACAAGGGGCGTGGGGAAACAATGTAGTACTAGATTGTTGCCCTGACTGCAATCTGTTGGTTTTTTCCCCTTCCAGAGGCATATGTTGTTTTCACTTAATTTTGTAGTGTGGTGTTCTGAGTTCCCACTCCGGCTGGTCAGATTGTTCATTGTTCTACACATCGAGTGGGAAAAGCTCCTCAATTTCCATAGTGGTAACTATCTTTGGGTTGATGCGGCTAACTTTAAAACATACTACGCCAGGTAAATGGAGCTGTGTGCCAGAGCACAAGGCACCTCTGGGCTGGCATGCCAGATTTAACCACATGCATTCACCCGTGGTTCTCGCCAGCCCCTCCCCCTGGCAACGACGAACCAAGGAAGCCAGGCACGAGTTCGTTAATTAACCGCCATACCGTTACCATCTTGAGGCTGGTTTAAAACCGAGCCCCTCCGCCTCTCCTCTCTCCAAGCCCAGCCCAGCTGCCGTCCTGCGCCTCCGTTTGCGGTGTGACGACAGCTCCTGGACCGGCCCGCGCGCGCGTGCCATACGTGCCAGGGACGTACGACGCCGGCCGGCTGATGGAGTTCACGTCGTCCTACTTCCACGCCTTCGGCAACCCCGACTTCGCGGCGGTGTTCTCGGGCGGCAGCGGCGGCGGTGGCGGCAGCGCGCAGGCCCACCGGCCGCGGCGCTCCACCGACGGCGGCAGCGCCAAGGCGGAGGACAGCAGGAGCCCCACTTCGGCCACGGCGAGGGGCGCGCCGTCCATGTTCTGCGTCCCCGACACGGAGGCGGAGGAGCCCAACAGCTTCCTGGACGAGTGCACCCTCTGCCGCAAGGCGCTCTGCGGCGACATCTTCATGTACAGGTCGGTTGCATGCATGCATGCATGCCTACGCGTATATTGATGGATTGCGCCGATGAATTGAAGCAGAGGATTATTAGCAAACTAACACGCGTGCGTGCGTATGCCGCCTCGATCGGTCGGATGGAGCAGAGGGGACACGCCGTTCTGCAGCGACGATTGCAGGAGGGAGCAGATCGAGATGGACCGCATCAGGCACCGGAGGAAGAAGCAGCAGGCCCTCATAGCGGCGCAGCAGCAGCAGCAGCAAGCGGCGGCGGCGGCGGCAGCGATGGCGCAGAGGGACCAGCGTACCCAGCGGCAGCTTCAGCCACAGCACTAGACGGAGGAGCTCGCGGAAGCTTCTTCACATACACCGGTTCCGGGCTCATCCCAACGTACCCAGGGATGGCGAATGAATTCTTGCACGTTCCTAGTACTAGACAAGGATTCTCCTCGATCGTAAGGACCAAGTAGCCACGACCCTTGTTTGCGTTTGTATGTATCCGACGCGAAGCAAAGAAGTGAGCGGAGGTTTTTTCGTGTCCTGCAATTACATGAGCAATCCAAGCCTTGCTCGTTTTTTGTTTGACTCCTGAATCCGGATTAAAATTGGGGCCATTGGAGCCACTAAACGAGCTCTATTCTAAACCAACTCCGTACCTTTTGTAGTTTTTTTGAAGAATTGCATGCGTTTTTTTTTCTAAAAATGATGGTAAAAGATCTGCCGTTGCATAATTAAAAAAGAGATATGATCTAGTTTACAAGAAGAAAATCAATAAAAAGAAACGGAAACGCTTCTTTCCGCAAGCGCATGCGAAAATGCTTCAACACACACACTAGAAAGAAAAAAAAATGTAGATAAACTCATCGGTCGTCGTTGCCGCGTGGAGATGAATGAAGCAGGTGGTGGCGTTAGGGTTCGGGTTCGGGTTTCGGGGGTTTCTATGCCCTCCATGCTTAGAAGGGGTCATTGGGGAGGTTGCCGAACCGACGGTGGTCATGGTTCAGACGACGGCAGAGGGCGGGGGCATCGCCCGCCGGATGGTCGAGAGGCCGGTTGGGCCGTGCCGATGACGGGGGCGTCCACGGAGAAGAAGAGGAGAAACTTGGGATTAACGTGGCGGTGATGGATGGTGGTGGCGGAGGCGGCGGGCCCCCAGGAGGTGGTGGAGGGTGTGCTCGTCAAATCTGGAGAAAAAACTCAGGTTAGAGTGGTTGTGGTTGTTGAGGGCGGTAGCGCGACGCCCACGCCGCTAGAACCAGGCAGTGTGGGCCAACCGCGAGGGAGCGTGAGGAAGAAGATGAATTAGAGATAACGCATGAGAAAGTGAGGAGATGAAACGTGCGGGCAGGGTGTGCTCCTCTCGTGCGGTACGCCTGGTAGTAGAGTCCATAGAATCTATGACAATAATGAAACTATCGTGAGAAAGTATTCCAAACACAATTAATAGTACTATTGTACTTTAAGAAACTTATATTACTGTTTGAAGCGGTCTTCGCTCTCGTCACATTTCTGTTTGATACTATACACCTGCCAGCTGAAGTCTTTCATCAGCCCAACCAATCACGAGTTCACCACCTTTTGATTTGATTTGATGGGTTCCTTTGAGCTGAAGTAGCGTGACTGATGCTAATTTGGCTGCTCGTTTAGGCGGTAACTGTCATGGCAGTCTATCTATTTACATCGTCCAATGAGCCGCGGAAACGAACACTGGCGCTCGTACAAGTCAACGAGTCCAACCCATCAACCATGCATGCAGAAGCCAAAAGCCCTGCCACAGAAAGATCCTTGCCTCCTTGGAGAAGTGCCTGAGAAGTGACGCCCCATGCCGTGGAAGGCCGGTCCTGATCGAGGGACTCGTGGGTCAAGGTCTTCTCAGCGTTTCGGGAATTCAGGGCACCGTGCAAAGCATTCAGTGGCCCGGTGCAGCGCGGCCGGTTGGATGTCCTCCCGAAAAATTCTCGGGCAAGTTGATGAATCCCCATTGATACGGTAGGCACACTGAAAAAAAAAAGGGCGGCAGGGCACAATGAAATCCTGTACCAGCTGCGCAATCGAGCTCTTCAAGTCTTCGGCAGGGCTGCAGATTCGCAGGCCAAAGGAGAATCCGAGACTTCATTTTGTATGCGTGCATTGCACGGCTGTCGTGATCCCACGGACGGACACGACCACACGAGGCATATATGTATGACTCCTTGACGAGAAGATTCCACGCGAGTCCGCCGAGTCGTCGTCACCTCCCCAACACGGCGTTCTGCAGCGACGAGTGCAGGAGCGCGCAGATGGCGGCGGACGAAGCGGCGGAGAGGAGGAAGGCCAGGGCGGTGACACATGGGGCGCTGCCCGCCAGGGAAGCGGAAGGCCCACCACAGGAGCGCGGCAAGAAGGTCCGGGCCGGGTCCATACTGGCCCTGTGATCAAAGTTCTCAGCTCAAGGATCTCCTTGAGATCGAGTCTGTCTGCCTGCGCACGGGCATGGCAGTTTTCTTTTCTCCAGTAGCTACCTTATTACGAGACGCGCCACCGGAGTTCGTCAATTTCGTGTACACGGGTTTGTGTTTTTTTTTTGGTTGAAAACCCCTTGGGGATCATCCGCTGGCGTGTTGGTTGTTGGTTGCAATGTTTGCATTGCTTTGTGGTCTGGTCTGGTCCATGTATACTGCACGTACGTACTACGTACGTATGCGTTATTAGTTAGTCTACTACAAGGAAATTAGTACTCAATAAAGATGACTAGTGCAACGTTGCGTGATGTGGAGACGCTGGTATGTATATTGCTTTAAGGACTGTTGATCCGTCTCTATCTGTACGTACTATGGTTATTATCGCGTGTAAGAAAGTTTGGAGCTACGTCACCGCGCCGGTGTCGTATCTCGTATGATCATTTGATGCAGCCGGACAGAGCGGGGCAGGTGGCTAGCTGGAGACACCTCCCCCTGTGAAGCTCACAGGGATACTGACCAGTGTGATGCTAGTGCTTATTTATTTATATTTTGGACGTGCACTACAGTTTGACTTGAATAGCCACTCAGCCACACCATCATCCTTCATTTTTCAGCGGATGGCGTCGCGTCAGCGGACAGTTCAATAACCGGGGAGGGACCGCCAAACGCATCGCATGCAGGCGCCCGTCCGTGCACGCCGTGTTGCCGACATGTTCGCGGGGTGTGCACGTGCCCTTGGCGCGGCACGCACGGGTGCATGATTAATCGGAGAAAAGGAGATGCGCGACCTGCCGAGATCGAGCCATGCTTGAGCCTGATTGGTCACACACACGACGAGACCCGGGCGGCCGGGCGCCGGTCGGTGCCGTCGTGCCGGTGCACTGGCTCCAGCTGCTCCACTAAAAAGGGTGGCAGCGGCAGTGGCAGAAACAGTGGCTAGCAGGCGGAATCAGTGGCCGCCCGAGATTGGTCACCCGTCAGTCCGTCACCGTCAATTTCGTTTGCCTTTGTTGCCTGGGGGGCTGGGGCGGTACAGGTCGGAGCAAATGGACAAGCCTCCGTGACACACCCGGCGGGGACGGGAACGGGACGGGGCGTGTTGTGCCGAACATGCAGCATGTTACGGCGTAGAGGTTTCGGTCGATTCAAACCAGGGAATAGATTTTTTCTAAAAAACCAGGATCGTCGGTTTAAACCAAAGAACGCGACCAATGATGAGCAGCCCGTGATCTCAGACTGTAGCACACGCACAGTATCGGAGTATCAGCCGGGCAGGGGAGAAAAAGGGAAGCGGTATATGACAAAAAATCGAAGTCACTGGTGGGATAACGAATCGTGGATAGTTGAATCCGAATCAGAAATCAGAAATCAGAAAGTTTTGATCCATCAAGTCAGTTTGTGCGTATCTCAGCGGTTAGCCTGATACATTGGTCATCAAAGGTCTTGTTTAGTTCCAAAAAGTTTTTCCTAAAAGTGCTACAGTAACCATCACATCGAATCTTACGATGCGTTCATGGAGCATTAAATGTAGACGGAAAAAACTAATTGCACGGTTTGGTGGGAAATCGCGAGACGAACGTTTTGAGCCTAATTAGTCCATGATTGAACACTAGTTGCCAAATAAAAACGAAAGTGCTACAGTAGCCAATTTTCCAAATTTCGTGGAACTAAACAAGGCCAAAGTAATTAGGAGTCACACGATCGCGAAAAAGTTACGAGTGTTGCATGCATGAGTCTCATACATTGTTTGGATCTTGGACGGTTGGACCCAATTGATCTTAATTTGGAAAAAGTCTTCCTTAAACTATTGTCGTACTCTAATTTTGTCTTCTCAAAATCTAAAACCAAACATCTTACTGTTTGATTTGGATTCTCAAAACCCCTCAAATTATCTTTCTTTGGAGTAGTTTTGAAGGCAGTTTTGTTCGTTTTTAGTTAAAAATTTGGGTAAGTACTTGATAAGAATTTAAAGCACATAAAATGAATCTAAGATTTAAAAATCAGAAAAAAATCTAGAGATAGAATGGGTTGCTATAAATCCAAATAAAAACATCTAAATCTCATAAAAACATATTTAGAAACTTCAAAAATTAAGCTCTAGGAAAATAGGAAAATTTCTAGAAAACTCTCAAATATTTAATTGATGTATATGTATAAACATGTTTTAAAACTTTGCTCGACAAAAATATGAAATACACATACATTAATATTGAATGCATAGTTTTTTTTTTTGAATATGCATCAGTGCTGGTTGCATATTATGTTTTTTATTGCTAAAAGTTTTTAAAACACGTTTAAATGTCAATTATAATGTTTTATATATTTTTTGGTTATTTTTTTTCATTTTCTAGAGTTAAATATATTTTTTGAAGCATCTAGAGATATTTTCATGAGCTCTAAATATATTTAGATTTTGTGTTCCAAACTTTTTCTAAGATTTTGGTTGAATTTTTTAAAAGTTAGAGATATTTTTTGTGTTTTAAAGATCTTGTCAAGTATTTATTGAATTTCTTCAATAAAAAGACAAACCGCCTTCAAAACCACTCCAAATCAGGAAAGAGAAGTAATTTAAATGGTCTTGACAGTTCAGAGTAAGATGTGTTTTAGAGTTCAAGGAGAAAAATCATAATACGATGACAGTCCAAAAAGGTGGGATAGATTTTTCCCACCTAATTTCAGCTTCATGTCAAGGACGAACAGATCATGCACCTTCATGATAATGGGCTGGGTGGACCTCAGCTTCATGTCAAGGCCGAACAGATTATGCACCTTCATGTAAATGGGTTGTGTTTTTTTTAGGGGAATGTAAATGGGTTGGGTGGACCTCATATCTTAAGCCCATTTACAACAAGGCACGAAATTGATGAGAATATAGGCCTTATTTGAATCGGGTTG